ATAGAAATATTAGTTTAACTTTTGTAGAATTTTGTAAAATTTTTGAATTAAATTCTGAATTATCTCACCAGTGGCATGCGGACTATAAAATGGGTGACTTATATTATGCTTTGACTGGTTTACCTACCCCCGACCCCCAACATGCTAGTACCAAACCTATTCACCACCCTGCCCCAAAAATCTGGCAAAGATTTGCGGGTTTGTGTTTTTTAGGTAGGGCCGAGCCTCATAATGCTCAAACTAACGAATTAGCTGTCATAGGACATTATGTGTACGGGTACGGGAAATTGAACATTGGTAGGTTTATAGTTCACCATTTGAGTAGGCATGCCACAGCCAGCACCACTTCCAAGTCCCCTATCCGTTTAGGTGGCCTTATCACTCGAATAGCGGTGAAAAAGGTCGGTTTTGTAGTAGACGGACCCCACCAGCTGACCAACTGTGGACCGGATACCTACATGACTGCTAGGTATTTTGAGGATGTGGGGTGGGTTAGACCGGATAGCGAGCAGACACCATTTTGGTGTATTCGGACTGGAAACGAGCAACCTTTGCCTATTTTTCCCTTACCCAGTCCAGACTTGACCGCCTTTCCCCCAGGGCAACTTTCTTACACATATGATGCTTTAGTTGCCAGCGCTAGGGGGTAGGTACCACCGCCACCAGTTCCACCACCCCAGCCTCAGCCCGAGGTGGCTTTCTCTCCACCTCGTATGTCCCATTCCGTCCCTCATGTTGACTCTGACCAGTTTGGGATCTTCAGAGTATAGGTCAGGCCCTGGGACGTATCGAGCATTCACATTCTGACCTTAGGAGGATGGTAGGCTCCTTAGACCAGAAGTTAGGGTACCTACAGAGGAACCATGGTAGAGCTCTCTACCCTATGTATGATGATTATACTCGTCGGGGCAACATTCCCGACGACGCTATTCACCCTGACTGGTTTCAGCCGCCACCCCAGGGATATGATAGGGATCCCACTGCCCGTGGTATTTACACTGACTATTCTTCTTTCTTCGGGTACGGGCAGGACATTCCTTTCGGGGGACCGGCGGGGGGGGGGGAGTTTTCACGCTGATTATTTTGGTGGTAGCTCTTCTGGTGCAGGTGGCAGTGGAGGTGCGGGTTTCGGCTCGATGGATGAGGATGATGAGGACTAGTTATGATGAGCTAGTTTTCGAGCCAATGAGGACATTGTCTGATTCTGGCTTGGGGGAGATTTTAGTTTGGTATTTTTCTTTTTCTCTTCTCTTTTATTTTTGGTGTGTTTTCTTAGGTTAGATTTCTTGCTTTCTAGATTAGTTTTATTGCTTTCTTATATTTGAAAAATACAAAAAAAAATTGAAAAATAAAAAAAATTCAAAAATACGTTCCAATGAATTATAAATTATGCTTCCCTGTGCCCCTTACTTGAGAAAATTGTTTTGATTCTTGGTATTTGATGATAAGCATTGTGGATTAGTTGATCATGATTTGATGTTTGATTGCCTTGAAACCTTAACATGCGTCAATTTTGTTCAACTACTTGTGAATATAGTGCTTGACTAGTTGATTTGGTAAGGAATGTGTGATAGTTCCATAGTTCCTGGTACGTCAATGAATTTGAGTATTGGTTTGCAACTATAAGTAATGTTTATACGATTCATTATTATGCACATTGAGGAGGACGAAGACATTTGTTCTTTTAGGTAGCCTCCAGATATTGTAGATACATTTGTTCCCTTCTTGCTACCCATGTAGTTGCCTTGACCTTTTGTTGTTTATTAGCCGCATTACAAGCCTATTTTTCCCCATTGGTTACTAGTCTGAAGCTTGGCTTGGGGGAGCTATTAGTGAGTGAGGTGAGGGAGTTTGTAGTGTGCTTATTATTTGCACAACTTGGGTGGGACTTTGAGAAGTTGTTTTGTTGTTATTCATGTTTATTTTTGATGAGTTTGAGAGTTATATTTTCTTGAAAAAAATAAAGCATGATGTTATGAAAAAAAATAGAAGTTCAAAGAAAAAAAAATGTGAAAAAATAAGTGAACTTCAAGAGAAAAAAAATGTTCAAATGTTCTAGTTGGAGGGTGATCAAAAGAAAAATAATTTTGAGCCTCAATGAAATTTATTCACTCTACTTCTTCATTATTATATTTTATGAGTGAAATTGTAAGAGTTGGGATTATTTATTATGATTGGAGTATATTTGGTTGATGTTAGAGTTGGTTATGTAGGAGATGTTGATCATTATTTATTTTGATCATGGGCTTTATTAGGATTTGCTCCCTTAAGCATAGCTTTACTCTCACTTGTTTCCAAATGATTCCTACCCTTTACCCTAGCCTTACATTACAAGTTTTAAAGACCTTCCGACCTTTGTGCGTAGAATTGTATGAATGTGAAAGTGTTGTTTATCAATGCAAGTTATGATTTGGCATATTTCGAGTCGACTAGTAGGATTGAGCGTTCATTGTTTATACACGCGAGAGTGTGAGTTGGGAGGGCATTGTTCACATAAAAGGGTTGGATGGAGAGCGACCGAGTACATCTTTTACTCGCCACAAAAATGAGAGTCGAGTGTGTGAGCACTAGTCTTGAATTCTATATGCTCTTGTGGTTTGCTCTATTTGACAATTGTTAGGGAAGAAAGGTAATTGGATGGATTTGATTGGTTGACTTTGAAGCATGTTTATTTGATTTACCCTGAATCGTTTGTGCTTGATTTTTACTTTTTGGGGTGAAGCATATTTATTGATTCATTGATGAGATCTTTGCTTAGGGACAAGCAAAGGTTTGGCTTGGGGGAGTTTGATGTGTCTATTTTATATAATATTTTACCCCCGTCCCTTGATCATAATTAGTAGTGTTTTTGGCTCTTTAGAGCAACTTTTATTACTAATTGGTGCTTTCTAGTTTTTTCGTAGATTTGGTTGACTTTTGCAGGGATTTATACTTTTTGAGTATTTTCCCGAGATATTTTGGAGCAATCACGAGCATTGGAGAAGCACGACCGGATTTTATAGCCCAGGACAGGTTAGAGCCATCGAACCGGTGATTAAGGGCTCGATATAGGTGATACCGGGGCATTTGGACCGAGTATTCAAGACCCAAAGAGGAAACCCAGATTGGCCCGAAGAATTGGAGCCCAATCGAAGTCCAAATAAAAGAGGCTGGCGCCCGGAGGCGCGCCCGACCGAGCGGGAGAAGCTTAGTCTGGCGCCCGGTGACGCGCCTGGCCGGGCGCGAGTTTTGTACTATGATAAAAAAGGCATGCCCGATCGGGCGGTGCCTCGCCCGATCGGGCGCGTGTATTTCTTAGTAGACGATTAACGTCGTTTTAATTTGTTTTAGTTTAGGACTTTTGTACGGAGTACAAATAATCCTCCGTAATACGATTTTAGGACCACTTCTTCTTCTCCTCTTTACTTTTTCTTTACTCTTTTAATTATTCTCTTAGAATTCTCTCTCTAAACTTTTGTTCTTAATTCTACTCTTAATTCCAGATTTATTTCGGTAACGATTTCTCTTCCCTTAATCTTAGTTATTTATTCTATTCCTTTAATCATGTCTTATTTTATTGCTTTGATTTGTTTAGTTTCTATTATGTGTGAGTAGTTTAATTTCTAGGGTTTATCACTACAAGAAAAAGGGGAATTAGCAACTGATTTTTGCGACTACCATAATAATTAGTCGCAAAAATTTATTTTTGCGACTAAAAAAGACGAGGAGTCGCAAATTTTGCAACTGATTTTGCTGTAGTTGCTATGCAGTCGCTAATTAGCAACTAATTTTTGCGACTACCATAATAATTAGTCGCAAAAAATATTTTTGTGACTGCAAAAACGAGTAGTCGCAAATTTTGCAACATATTTTGTAATAGTTGCTATGCGGTCGCTAATCTGCGACACTCTTATAATTTTTTGCGACTAAAATGTAGTTGCTAAGGTTTATAATTTTGAAACAATTTTTTTAAATAAAATTTGCGACTAATATTGCAACTAACATGGTAGTTGCTACCATTGCTTTTAAAATTTATTGAAAAGGAAATAAAACACTTAATATATAATGAGCTGACCCCAGTCAATTCCCTAGATTAACGAATTTGTTTATTTGGGGGTATAATTGTCTTTTCAAGTAGCAATAGAGCGGTATATGCGTCTTTCCATGTACTAGTTGAGGGGTACATGTGTAATTTCCTCACTAAACAGTAAAAGCAAAAAGCAAACAATATTTAAACAGTACTTAATAAATGACCCTCCTTTTTTAATATATTTACAAAAATGCCATCAGATTAACAAAAATTCGTTTATCTGGCAGATTAACTTGTATTTTCCCATATATAATAAGTTGGCTTTTTTTTTCTTTTTTTCTTTTTTTTTTTGTACGAAAATAAAACACTAGTACAAAAGTAAGGAAATCAATAGTATATAATATACTAAAGTAATCACTTGAATTATCCCTAAAGTACATGTGTCGCGTCCTCATTAAAAAGTTTCCCGCCAAAAACTTTTTTTTTTCCTTAAAAAAGAATAAGTTAATTTTTTCATTTTTAAATATACAACCTAAACAACCCTAAAAATAGAACAATAACTACAACTTTAAATAAATAAATGTTTGTCTTTGCTTTATAAATAAATATGAAAATTGAGATAAATGATTAGAAAATATTAAAAATAATGAACAACGTAAAGTCATAGTAAATTAGTGACTTTTATCATTCATATTTATAAAATCAATTCAACCAAAATTTATTATTGCAAATAGATTTTTACCAAAATAAAAAGGTTTTAATTATATATTAAGATTAGAAAATCCTTAAATCTTCATGCATTAGGGCCTGTTCTCTTTAGCTTATTTTCAGCTCAATTCAGCTCCAATAAGTTCAGTTCAGTTCTTAATTTCCTTCTCTCATAAAATATTAATTTCTCTTTCACTTTAGTTCAGCTCAGCTCAGTTCAGTCCATCAGAATAAGCACTTAATCTAATAAATGAATTGTTCATTTCCTACTAAAAAAAGGATTCTTACTCAATTTTAAATTTATAATTTATAATTTGTCAGCGAATTATAAAAATAGAGACACTATGTATTAACATGTCTCACCATAAAATAGGGAATACAAACTAACTTTAATTTATAATAATAATTTTTTTTCCAGTGAATATCCGAGCATTGCTCAAGCAAAGAAATACGAAGTAGTAAGTAGTATAATAAGTTTCCCTAAAAAAAAAAAAAAGTACGGACTAGTATAATAAGTTGTTGCCTCCAAATAACACAATAACCAATTACTTCGTATATAACTTCTTAATTCCTTATTCACGGCAAACTTGATACTCTTCTTCCTCACCAAAAAAAAATAACAAAAAACGAAGGCCAAGTTCAATTCAGAACATCAGATCAAACTGTCGCAGTCGTCTTCATCTGCCGCCGCTGCGCCATCTATCTCTTCCCCGGTTAGTTACGCATGCTTCCTTTTCCTACCGTCCATTCCATCTTTCTCATATTGCAATTTGCTAATTGCGATTTAGGGGTATCATTGAGTATTTTATCCAAATTTTGATTTTAGTTTAGTTTCGTTTGCGAATTGCGAACTGATTTTAAATTACGAATTGAATGAGTAGTGAATTGATTTTAACCTGGTTTATTGAGAACTGATTGAATTGATTTTAATCTGGCTGCCAATTGCGAGGTTCATTTTTGGAAGTCAATTAATGTAAAACCATTCAAACATGATTGATTATGCAAAAAGCCCTAATTATTTTCAATTTCTCTATGATTTACTATATACTTTGCATTTAAACTGTCAGTTGCTTTGCAAATTAGGCAATATAAGATTTTGTGTATACTGTATATTGATGGGTGAATGGAAAGTGGCGTCAAGGAGTTTGAACTGCAACCCCAATGAAACCCTGAAACCATGCTAGCTATTGTAATGTGTGCTATTTTGTTTACTTCCTCAAAAATGTCATGGGTGCATCATTTATGTTTGTGTCAGATGGAATTGGAAAACCTTTCAAATTCAATACCTCTTTGAAGTGTCTGTGTTTCTCCTTGGTTCTGCTAATGACTGATTTCATTGGCCAGACTTTGAACTTGTCTTTTCTACTAGGGAGATTTGGCCCTGTATTACTGATTGAAAATGACTGAAGTCTATGTTACATAATGGTAACAATATAAGCAATTGGATGTGGTTTTGTAGTTTCTTTCTAGGCTTAAGTCAATTATTTGCCTGTCTATGCTCCCGGGCTTCTGAAAAATGAAGTATGTACAACTTCTTATTTATTGATCAATTTCACTTGTTCTTTGAGAATATGTTTGCAAACAAGGCTTTCTTCTCCCCAGAGATATTGCTTTGCTTCTCCATCCTGTGCAGTTTCTGGGCTACAACCTCAGAGTTCAAGAAGTTTTCCCATTATTGGATGTCATGTATACTCCATCAAGCCTTTACAAGCAAGTTTCAAGTTTACAATGTGTATTTTCCTTGCTTTGTCTGTGAATTGAAATTTTTTGATTTGTTGTTGCTTATTTTCACTTATATGGCCCAAAAAAATGAAGCTTTATCCTATTTATTTCATACTCCATACTAAGGTTAAATGCTTAACATTTGTTTGTGCATTCTTTGTCTTCCCTGCGCAGAAACTTCCAAAGGGGCTGTCAATCCTATCATGCTGTCATAGTTGGACTAGGTATGGTATGACACTTAGCCTGATAGGATAACACATATGTGCATTACATTTACCCCTCTCCAGTCTCTAAAACAATGATACATACTAGTAAATTGATCTTTGTAAAGATATATATCTTCATAGACCTTAATTTGACTATAATTGCCCCAAATTAAGCTTTCTAAGTCATCAATTATTGTAAGGGGCTCACAAACAGAAAGTCCCATTAGAAGACCTGCTGCTTCTTCTCCTGCTTCTCTTCAGCCACCTTCGTCACCTCCTCTGCCTCTGAAGCTGGTCTCAGGTTCTAAAGTAAACACTCATCTTTATGTGGGTACTCCCTTTGAAGCATATTAGTCACTTCAGATCAGAAATTGTTATTGAAATTGATGTGGATTAAAGCCTTAAACGATTCTCCTTGTTTACCATTAAAATAGAATGCATAAGATCTTATAGTTTGATACAATTTGTTTATGGAGTATGATGATGCTTTTTGATACAAAAGTTGTAATATATGCTCAGCGACATGCAATAATAGTAAATTACAAGTATCACTAACATAAATGAACATGGAACTACAAGTTTTTGATAGACAATGTGTTTAGCTTATTTGTTTGATATATGATAATATTTTAAAATTTGTGGATCATGTTTGTGAGCTTACTTTTTTTTTTTTTTTTTTTTTATAATTTTTATCATGTGTTATTATTTGTAAATTAATTATTGAGCTTATGATCTTTCTAGTTCTTTGGAAATGAAATCCTTCATGAAAAATTCAAAAATTGGTCGGGGCGGTAATCAAGGCGGTGTTCGAGACATTACTCAATTGGTTGATCAATCTTGTGGTCACACAACCCACACCGCCACCACTAATGAATAGGTACAAGTAAATTCTAATGCTTATGTTGTTGTTGAAGACAATGTGGCACCACAAAATTTGAATGGAGTGGAACAAGGAAAGGTTGAACTCTCACCACATGGGTTATGGTGAGTTATATTCATCTGTGTATTATATTTGTTGTCTCAATAGCTTATTATCATTTTTTATGATTGTACTTAATCTTTCTTGCATTTAGTGGAAATGTCACGAAATGAACATCTATATGTATGGGCAATGATGAAGTTGAATTGATGGGTTACAAGACTCATCAAGTCATGGTATGAGTATACCTATATATTTTGCTAAGATTACAAAAAAATATATGGTAGTTAATGTTTGGAGATATTATAGATTGTTTATTTGTTTGTGTGATTGAGTTGGAGGATGAGGATAATTGGTCGTCGTTAATCAAATGATTGATGTGTTATGACATAATGTGCATTGAAACAAGTTTATTTTGAAGCCATACCCTATTGGAGGGAATTCTTCAATTTACAAAGGAGGTTCTATCAAAAATTTTACTAATAATTGTTTACATAAATTATTTTACTATAAGTGTTGCATTTTTTATTTTAACTTTTTTTTTTATCTTAATGCAGGGAGAATATATGAAAAAACTTGAGGAATATAAGAACAAAGGATTTGAAATAAACCCCGACAAAAGTCTACTTGGAGGTTGTAGGTGGGCAAAAGAAAGGAAAAGTCTACGATTTAGGGAGTGCTTCACTAATGTACTACATGAGTGATCCTACTTCTCAACTTACTGCATCATCTTCCACTCCTTCCATGATTTCTCAACTAAGCTCCCAAGCTAAAGAAAAAGAAGATGGCGGACGAAAAACCATAACAAGGTAGAAGAAAGCCAAAAAAAAAAAAAAAAACGATAGAGAGCTTAAAATATGCTAAGGAATTTGTCGAAAATCATGAGATCGAAAAGGCTACATGGAAGAAAGAAAAATTAGCTATGCAAAAAACATTCACTTGTCCAACAACGTTGCCGTCCTTCTAAGCCTCCTACGTCTACAGTCACCCGCTCTCGTGATGCAACTAAGTGGTTTTTATATTCGTGGTGGTAATTTTGTGAACAACTCTTCTACGTCGTCATTAGTTCTTATTTAAAGTAGCTTTCTTTATATGTGAGATGATTTTTGATGCAATTAGTCATGAGTTAAATATTGTTTTTTAATACACATGATATTTTGGATATTTGAATAAAATTAACATTTTGGTTATTTGAATTTATGCATGGGTACCTTTTCTTTTTTGTGATTGATATTGGTCATTGCTAAATTATGGTCTCCAAATATTGATAGTCGGTCACAAAATTTAGCAACTGCAAATTTGGTTCAAAGACTGATTGGTTAGTTGCAAAATAATTAGTCTTAGTAGTCGCTAATCTGTCGCAAATAATTAGTTTTGTAGTCGCAAAAGTTTGGTCTCGTAAGTAGTTGCTAATCCGTCTCGAAAAAAAATTAATCTCAGTAGTCGTTGCAAATCCGTCGCAATAAAACTAGTCTTCGTAGTCGCAAAGGTTTAGTCTCGTAGTCGCAAAAGTTTGGTCTTGTAGTCGCTAATTCGTCGCAAAAGTAGTCTTAAAACATTGGTCTTCGTAGTTGCTAATCCGTCGCAAATATCTTACGACGGACAATGATATAGTTGCTAAAATTTGAAAGTTAGTCGCTAAATGGTAGTTGCAAAGGCGTTGCAAATCTGTCGCTAAATTTGCGACTGCTCAAATATAAGTCGCAAAAATGGATTTGCGACGAGGTCTTTGGCAACTAACCAAAGTAGTTGCAAATCCGTCGCAAATCCATTTTTGTGACGGATTTGCGACAACTTTGGCCGTCGCTAATTACCCTTTTTCTTGTAGTGTATGGGGATCTAATAAATAATATGAAGGAGTAATTTATTGTTGTTGATTATCAATTCTAGATTAATTTCCTATTGATTGATTTAATGCTCTGTGACTAGATTAGGCCTATCTTTTATGCATGAGTTTGACAATATTAATTCAAGATTCGAGAGATGAGAATTGATGTTTAGGTCTAGTTTCAATAGGCAGATTAATTTATAAATGGTTAAGTCGAAAATTGAGAGATGAGATTTAATACCGGTAGATTAATTCTGTGATTGTAATACGTAGCGAAAGCCCTTTACAATCTGGTTAATTGATGCATTGATGATTGACTATTATTGATTGTTGGTATTGCAAGATAATTTCTTATTGAATTGTTTTAACGTTTTACAATTGCGGCTTGTAAAAGTATAGCAATATTGAATTGATGAATCGAGCAGATGTTAATTTGATATTAAAGGCTATTTTCAATAAGAACTTAGATCTAGTAAATTGCGAGAGCCTGTTAGATCTATGTTGATTAATAAATTGCGAGAGCCTGTTAATCATGTTATTTATGCAATGTCAATGATTGATTACTATGTTTTACCCTGGAGTATTATTTATTGGTGAACCTATGCCCTAGATCCTTTTATATATTGCTTTTTCCCCTATTCCTTTTCCTTGTAGTTTAGTTTCATACTCAAATATAAATATTGGTTACTTAGATAATTTAGATTATAATAATTAATTAGGAGTAAAAAGACTTGTTTCCCTGTGGAGATCGACCATATTTCCCTATCTACTTTAGTTAGAGGATTTAGGTATTTACTTTTGATTAGGGGATACGACTTTACCCTGTCAAAGGCCTCGGGAAGATTAGTCATCCCAGCCCAAGGATGATACTGGACATCAATAGCAACCTGAAAACCATAAAAAGTTGGCATGAAGCACCAGAAATAACGTCAAGAGAGAAAATAACAGGCTACAAAACTAATTCTTACGCCAACAGAAGAGGTGCCTCGACGTAGCAGCCCGCGCAGCGCAGCGACAGACTCCACCCGTGACTCTCCTCGGTCACGCCAGTTGGCCCCGACGGGGAAGTCATGAACCGCTCCACGACGCCGTCGAGGAGACAATCCTGGGAAGTACTCGTAGAACCATATCTGCAATGAAAAGTAATCTTTGAGCACATGAGTCGAACAAATTAAAATAAAACAAGAAGAGGAAAGGATCGTCACCTCTACGACTCTCCATAAACCTTAGACAGTGACAGGGGACTCGTCGTTCAGCTGCCTACAGCCATGACGTAACGACAAGAGAAGGTCGGCATATCCGAGGCTGGCCCAGCTAAAGGATCCTATCTCACTGATCCTGACTAAAGAAGGAAGGTAGCAAAGGAGTGCACGCGAACTCCTATCAGGAGAAAGAGTCATGGAAATGAGAATCAAAATGAAGATCCGCACTCGCTGCTCAGGTGATGTCTCCTCCATGTCGAAACCACGGGCTAAAACCGAAGCCAACTTTGATCGCTCGCTCCTAGGACCACCTTGAGACACTGATTGGGTTCTGATATGCTGAACGATCGGACCTAACAAGTCAGCTGCCTCAGCCGCTCCCTTAGAAAGATCAGACATCTGTGCTACAACCCGGTCAGTGAAGCGTAGACCGCTAATCATGCTAAAGTCCAGAGGGGTCACTGTCATCTCCCCCGAAGCAAAGTGAAAGGTGTTGGTAGTATCCCAAAAATACTCCAACAATGCACGAACGACTGTCGCACCACAACCTTGGGGGCTGCAAAACCCTACGATCGCCAAATAAAAGTCCACTAAACCAGCTGATTCCCGTAAGGCGTTCGTAGCAGGATCCCTCGTGGTAATCCGATGAAGTCGAGGAATCAAATCTCCGGCTCCAGAACCGTGATGGCGAAGCGTGCCGTCAACTATGTCGACAAGTGGACGATGAGAAACGTGGTTCTCACGTCAGAAAACCAACTGGTCTGATGTCCACGGAGGTGGAGCCCACCTACCTCTACCCGTAGAGGCCTGAGGCTTGAACAATAAGACGTCATCATCCATACCCTCGGGAATCGTGGGAGTGTCCTCCCGAAAAGCCTGACGTCGGCCATGAGTGGAAAGATCGCGATCCCGTCGTCTAGGCATGCTATTATAAAAATAAAAATCTAAATGCTTAGCATCATTTCCTAAGACATTTAGTTATTTATATCGAGTTGCATTTTAATAAAAAATCTAAATTCTTAGCATCATTTCCTAAGTTATTTAGTTATTTATTGCATTATACGTTAAATTTTTACCTTAAGGCTAAAAATTGGCAAAATAATGGAATTATTTATAGTATTTAGTTTCTCCATGACGAACTAATACTATGTTCTCCTAATTGCATGATACTGTGTTCTCCATGACAATGTAGTACATACATAACACAAGACATGTTTCAAAATTGCACAAGAAAACAATAGATCGACGCATCATGGCATATTTTACAAGATCTACAACCAATATGTCATTATTTAAAGTGCAAAAGAACAACATGAACAACAAGAACACCATTTCCCACCAAAAATGGTGATTTGCTTAATTCTTCACCAAATCATGCAATTTTTGTCTCAAATCGCTCACAAACACACATACATACATATACAAGTAAATTCATAGCAAGAATTTCAACATAAACCCCAAAATCAAAAAAATCCCCAAATTGATTTTAAAGGGTTTTTACATTAAATTATTTGAAGCAAATTTGAGACAAAAATCAAAGGAAACTTACATAGATCCTTGTGGAGAACCAAAACTGAAGAAAGTAACAAAATTTAGAGCCAAATTAATGAAAATTTGAGCTCCAAAATTCGCAAAAACGTGAAGACACCAGAGCAACCGCCATGACACGATCAGCAGCAGCCGTGTCACGGTGAGCCTGGGACGTAACGGAGCTCCGAAAGTAGCAGCGACAACCTCAGATAATGGCGACAACAGCGAAGCAACGAGCAGCAGCAAAATTTCTGCAAAGAAAAAAAAAAGGAAACAAAAACCAGCAGGACCGCCGCGCCACGGGAGAAAACTCCGTCAGACAGGAAGATAATCCGTGCGCCGGCGAACGCTTACCGTGGCTCGGTGATTTGACAGCTTAAAATAAAAAAATGGAGAAGAGGAAGAGCAGAAGTAGCAAGCAAATGGCAGAAATGGTCAAGAGCAGCTGTAATTTAAAGGAAAAAAAAGCATCCCGTTTCCCGTGCGACGGTTTCCGTTACTATGTTACGACAACATATTGACGTGGCGTATGTGGTCTGGACTGGTCAAAGATGCCAGTTGACTGATTTGCAGCCAATGGATTTCCCGTGTCACGAGAATTTATTCCGCGTGACGGGGATCCATGCCGTGTCACGGGAATCTTGCTTCGTGACACGGTGGTCCCGCGCATGTCCTGCACGTCCTTTGAAGCGGTCAGCGAATATTCCTGGCTTTTTGACTAAAATTGCGCAATTTTCCAAGCAAATTGGACAGTTAATTTTTCAGTAAAATTACGCGAAAAATTCTAACTGACGGTTGAAGGGTATCAAAATTACTATTTTGCCCCTAGGAAGCGTCAAAATCAATTTTGTCGATATTTTAAACACCTAATATGGTCGGATAATCGACTTGAAGGTGTGAATCATCTGCGGTCCACGTTCGGGGATAATCAAACCATCATGCACTTGCAAATTTCAGCGATTACAGTAGTTGTCGGCTTTCCTCAAGCATGGAAAGCGTTATCGGTGGATTTTTCTTCAAGTATAGAAAACCGCCAAGTCGGCTTTCCTCAAGAATGGAAAGCGTTATCGGTGGATTTTTCTTCAAGTATAGAAAACCGCCAAGTCGGATTTCCTCAAGCATGGAGAGCGTTATCGGTGGATTTTTCTTCAAGTATAGAAAACCGCCAAGTCGGCTTTCCTCAAGCATGGAAAGCATCATCGGTGGATTTCTTCAAGCATAGAATGACACCAAATACATACGTCGACTTTCCTCAGGCATGGAAAGTATCATCCGGTAGGTTTCTTCAGGCTTAGAAAACTACCAAACTCCTCAGTCGGCTTTCCTCAAGCATGGAAAGCGTTTCAACGAA